AAAACTAATAATTCAGTGATTCTGCAAAGGGACATGTGACAAAGAGTATGATGTGGTAAAATGTAAACTTGCAAGAAGAATGAAAATGTAAGAGAATGCAGGTCTATCATGATCAAGAATGGAATGATGTATTCAATTCTGCTTACAATAAATGACAAGTCATAGATGTTTTGCTTCTTTTAGAGCTTGTAGTGCCATCACATCGGTGTATAATTTTGGGCTCCTTATTTAAAAAAGGATTAATTACATTAGAAGCAATTTAGAGAAAGTTCTCCCAACTAATGCCCAGGGTATAGTGGGAAGAGGGGTTTATCCGAGAAGGTACAAGGGTGAGTTTATATGTAAACAAAATCCTGAGAATTGGACAAAGTGGATTCTAAAAGGATGTTTCCTCTTGTGAAGGAAATAGATCAGAGGATATATTTCAAAAATAAGGCGGTGCTTTAAGTGAGGGGGGTAATTTTTTCCCTTGGAAATTGGGCAACATGAGAGCTCCTGGTGGATGGGATGATGCAAATGGCTACCAGAAGCTAGGAATAGTGTGGTAAGTAACTCACCTGACTCCCCAAACATCCATCATCTACAAGGCACAAGTCAGCAGTGTAATCCCCACTTGCCTGGATTGGGGCAGCTGCAACAACACTAGAAGACTGACACCTTTCAGGACAAAGCAGCCTGCTTGATGAACACCACATCCACTCCCTGCACTGCAGAAATTCACCAAAGATCCTCAGACAGCACCTTCCAAACCCATGACTATTTCCATCTTGTAGGACAATGGCAACAGATTTATGGGAACACCACTACCTGCAAGTTCCCCTCCAAACCACTCACAATCCTGACTTGGAAATGTATCATTGTTATTTCACTGTTGCTGGGTCGAAATCCTGGAACTGTTTCCCTAACAACGTTGTGGGTCAACCCACAGCAGGTGGACTGCAGTGGTTCAAGAAGGCAGCTCACCATCACCTTCAAGGGCAACCACGGATGGCTAATAAATGCCTGCCAGCCAGCAACGTCCACATCCCACAAATGAATTTTTTACAAAAATGAGGAGTCCTCTTCCCAGATGGAGGTCAGCCTACCAATCCTGGCAGCCTGCTCAGTTTAGTACACGTGGGTCAGCACAGTCTCCAGAGGGGGAGTGGAATGGCCAACAGTGGTAAAAGAAGGTTAATTAACTTTTCCACTGCACCAAGTGCCACATTCTTCTCTCAGCTACCCCGCACTCACTCCCTGCTACTGCAACCATCTACAGGTTAATCTCTCTATGTAGGGGCAGAGGGCATTGTTACACCATCTGGCATCACTTTTAGTCTTCCTCATGAAATATCCATATTAAGTTGTCAAGGAGTGTCTGGGTCAGGGAGATATAACAGAGATCACTGCATTAGGACTGCCAGGAAATCAGCCCCCGGCAAGTCTGTCAACGCGCACAGATCTAAGTACTGTCGTGGCCCAGCATCATGAATGCTGCAGCCCCCTCCCTCACAGATCAAGTAACTTATTCTGCCCACACAATGTAGTCACAGCCATTTTCTTTCCCTCCCATTGCACATGTTCAATTTCCAGCACAATGGAAGAGAACTGTGAGCCCCAGAACATTCATGTCCTGTAAACCAG